TAATTTATATATAATACTAAACAGACGATAGCAAACTCAATTTAGCCGCTCCGTAGCGTGGCGCAGGGTCGGAGGTAAGTAGTTCGGCTGCTCATCCACTATTGGTCCAGACTCTATCAATCTTGTCGCGAAACGACGTTATAGGAGGTACTTTATACGAAAGTTTCTACAATTTTTTCGCTACGTTATAGGAATTGTCGTTATAGGAACGTACGTTATACGGGGGTCGACTGTATAGCTTACACTTAATATTAAACTGAATCTATCATGCTTAATTTTAATATTATACTTTATTTTTGAGTGTTGTTGTTTTTAATAAGTTACATTATTTATTGTTCTGTTTATTTGAAAATATAAAAATATACTAATTATTTTCAATATTGAAAATTTTGTTTGCTAAAATAATGATAATTGTGGCTTTTCTAGAGTCGTGCATTGGCAACTATAGGAGTGACACGAGGTTTTGGAGATCATGATTTAAAGGCACAGAATAGTAATTTATATATAAAACCATTTCTATCACCTCAGCCTGAGGTAACCAATTTTTTTTATCTGTTATGTAAGACTCAATTGAGTAAATGACATTTAATAGCTTACAATTATGTTATAATGATATCTTGATGAAGTATGAAGTATTGACTGTTAAAAATAGTTTTGGGTTAATTAGCTAAGAATCAAATCATTGACTGAAAATTATTTCCAATCAAAATTATTATTTAGTTTAAAAGATTTATATTAGTATACAGATTTTTTTCTAATAAAAATTTGCATAATTGAATATCATTGATATCTTTATTTTTAATATCAAATTTTATTGGTAATACTGTTGCTAAATTTATTAATTTCATTCTTACATATATTATACATACATACAGGTATTTCTTGACCTTTGGGAAACTTAGTTTTCATACATATTGTTTTTTATATGGCAAATTCAGAATTGTACAAATTCAGTAGACAAAGTAATTTGTCTACTGAATTTGTACAAAATGTATAAAAGTCTAAACAAACAATTCAATTTATCATTTATGCTTTCTTCCAGTTCATTTTTATAACATCAAAATCATCTGTGAAAATTAATTTTTATTTTCTGTTTTATTTGTTGTAATAGTCACTAAAAAACAAACTTTCTTACCTTATTTACTATTGGTGATGTCTTGAATCATCTACATTGCAACATCACATGTGCCAATCGCTCTTATGTGCATCATAAAATATTTCTGTGTTTCTTGCTCAGAGAATTTCATTTGCTTTTAAGAAAAAGTTTTTATTTCTTATTTTACACTGCTAAGAATATATTTTATTCATTGGTTATTCATTCTTGAATTATTCAGTGTAGTAATTTTTTATTGGAACAATAGTTCTTTCCATCGTATTAGTTTTTTCAGCACATAGCGAGAGACATCATTCCTATGGGGATAGTGAATGTGTTATGAAATCTTTTATTGACATTTGCACATAATTTTAGAAATGCATTGTCTGAAAGTCAGTGGCGGCATGTGTGTGTTTTTCTTATTGGTGCTTTGTACTTTCAATTTAATTTGTTTCAGGAGGCCATTTAAACTCTGAATTCTTTTGAAGCCCAAATCAATTTTTCCCCTTAGAAATAGTGGAAAGTGAACTAATCCATTCCCAGACCATAAACAATAAACAATATCCATTTTGATAAACTTAAACAGTAAATCCACCTAATTTAAGGTAACAATAACACAATTAAGTGTCCTAAACAATAAATTAAAACATGAAAACAATAAATAAAATATGTAAATACTGTGTAATAAAATGAAAATTGTATTTACTGGTTGCACACTATAAAGTTTGGCATGTTACACATGGCTGCCAGATCCACCACATGTGTGCTGCTTCCATGCTTTATGATAAGTTCCTTTTTCATCTCAGTTGTTGATGCTGCAACCTACCTCTTAGGTTTCATTGCTTCCACACTATTCTTAGAGACCATAGTTAATATATACATATACATATATGTAACAAAATGCATCAAAAATAAAGCATAAAAGCATTGAAAATATGAGCCTAATGTAAGAGATACTTTTACAGTGAGAGAGAGAGTTAACTTGGGTGCATTACAGATGGTGTTTACACAATGAGTGCATTTATTTCAATGTGGGCACAGTTTGAACTGTGAAGTATTGTTCAAACTCTGGATTGTTTGAAGTCTAAGGTACCACTCTACTTACTTCCTAAAGTAAGCTTAAAATTACTAAATATGAAGGAATTATATCTACAATAAAATGATAATAAGATTCTTATAATGTAGCATTGAATGTTAAGTTTTTAAGATTACTTTAATTTTTCAAAAATATTTCAGTTTCTGGTTACTAATAGTTTAAAATGTAATTTGTTTGATGATAAGAATAAAAAATAGCAATTGAGTCTAACATATTAAATAAATTAGTAAAATTATAATCTTGAAATATTTGTTTTAACAATAAATTTATTTATTTAAAAATATTTTAGATAAAGATATTTGATCTAGGTGCTACAGAATTAACTGATAGTGATGTATTAATAATGGGGACAGATGGTTTGTGGGATATTACTTCAAATGAGAAATCAGCAGGAGTTGTACAGAAATCATTAGATCATTTTCCTGCAAATGATATGCAAAGATATAAGTACAGGTAAAGTATAAGCTGTTTTGTTTGTATAAAATTTTAATGGCTTATTACACAGTTCCAGTAAATTCCAGGACTAGTTGTTTTAGAATTATAATTATGATAATAAAATAATAATAATCTGAATTTAGATGATGCTCTGTTGTATCTAACAAGTTTGGGCATGTCAATACACTCAAAATTAGTGTATAGTCATACTGTAGCTATGTGTTGTCAGAAATGTGAATATGGAGCAACATGCCATGATTAAGCTTTACAGCTGCCTGGGAAAATCGCTTATCAAGGTGTTTAAGAATCTTAAACAATTGATACCACAGACAACTTTATTGTGCACATGTGTTCGAGTGACATGCTTGTTTTCAGGAAGGCCACAAATCCATCAAAGATGACTCTTGCCCAGGGAAGCAATGAATCAAGACACCAAAGAAGACATTGAGAAGATCTGCACTTTGTTGAATAAGGAAAGACAGTGTGCAGCTGCTAGCAGAGATGGCAGATATCAAGAAAGACGCCATGCTTAAAATTTTAACTGAGGATTTGGGTAAATGCAAAAGTGTTCTCATCTTGTGCTTCAGCAGTTAACACATGATCAAAAGCAATAGAGACTGGATACTTGTTTAAACCTGTTTGATGCAGTGAAAGCTGATCAGGACATTTTGAACAGGATGACAAATACTGGTGCTTTCAGTTTGACCCAGCAATAAAAAGGAAGAGCATTGAGTGGTGGATGTCAACAGTTCCTTGTCTGAAAAAAATAGTTGTAGCATTTTCATATGAAGACAATGCAGATTGTGTTCTTCAATCATAGTAGTGTTATTCACTTAGAATTTGCTCCATGAGGAGGCAGTCATGCAATGATTCTGTAATATGTTATGGATTTGGTGTAACTTTAATGCAAAATATCTGATTGCTGTTGCATGATAATGTCCCAGTGTGCAGGAATGTTCAGGTAAAAGACCTTCTGAACAGAAAATAGGTTATACCTTTGGGGCACCTTCCTTATTTGCCTATTTAATATGGATACTTTTACTTTTTTGGATACTTTACTATTTTTTCTTCCTAAAATCAAAAAGGCTTTGAAAGGACATGTTTTTGATGACATTTCATCCATTCAAAAAGTAATGATGTACCAAATAAAGACAATAACTTCAGAGATGTACAAGACAATCAATGTTTTAAAGATTTCATTAAATGTTTTGAATAGTGTGTAAAGTAATGCCTTTTTCAGTGTTTCCAGTCCTGGAATTTATCACACACACTGTATATTGCAATAATAATCGGATATTTTTGAAAAAATTCAACAAAATACATTAAAAACATATTTCTTATATGTTCTATAAATGCAAGTTTTAAAAATTTACACAAAAAAACTAATTATATAATTATAAGCTGTATCATAATTTTAAAAAAATTTATATTTATAGTATGTACGTGAATAGTTTTAAAAACAGTATAAGTTGTGAGATTAAGGAGTACTGTAGTACATATTGTACTTCTTAAATCTCACCACTTAACAAATGTAGGACTTATCATACAGGATTTATGTTTAAAAGAACATGGCAAAATTAATCACTTTGAATTCTTATTACAGAATGAATTTCAGGTATGAACCCCTTTTCAGCTATTGACAATTTTTTAAAAAACTGGACTTGGGAGGGAGCCACAATTATAGATTTTATATATCGAAATGAAAGTAAAAACTATGTAAAATATTCCAGAATTTAAAAAAATCTTTAAAAATTCAAAAAAATTAAAATCAGTAAATAAAATCATATAAAATTATTGTAAATATGCATAAATTATTTGATTTAATAGGTAATTTTATTTATAAATAAAAGGATAAAAGATAAAAATATTCTCAAAAATTTTTTTTTAAATTTAGAAATAAAATCAATTATAAAGTCAATAAAAATTATAAAACTGGAGTATTAACATTATTGCAAAAATAAATAATTAAGATAGTCTTGGCATGATAAGTTTATCAACAAACTATACAAACCTGCAAGCATTTGATTTTTATCCAGTTTGTCTAATACAGTGTTTCTCAACGGGGGCGATATCGCCCCATGTGGGCATTTTTCCATGCTGAGGGGGTGATTAGGAACAATTTATATTTTGGGGGCGAAAAACAGTTTTATGGGCAATATAGTAAAACATTATATTAAGAATAATTAGATATTTTATTCGTTATATCATACAATAATTAAACAAATAACATTATACTAGTCACTAGTCTAT